CCCCCGGCTCCTTTCCTGCTTGCGGCCTCTACTTCCGTTACCTTCTATGAAAGACATATTCTCTAGTTTAGAGGTACGAATCCCCTTGGTACATCTCGCGCGATGCACCTCGATCTCTTCGGGGTCTACGTCGTAAATTTGATAAAAGTGCCGTCTTCGTCGACGCGGGAAATCTTATTGGGGCGCGCTACAGTGGACGGTATTTCCGCACGCCAAGTGACTATATACACAGCGCGCTCGTTGCGCGCGACGTATTTTAATTACAACTCCCCGTCTGAAAAGTTCATTCATTTGGACCTTGCGCGCGCGTCACGATGCGTATAATTTCGAATCTACGAACAGGTTGCATATCGAATTTGCATCGTGAAATAAAATTCAGAAACAGCATCCGACGTCATTAATGCACTTGACAAGTCGACCAGGCGATTAAAAAATGGAAGTAAAATTTAATTTTAATGATATCTCCATATTTTAAAAGTTCTATGAAACTTTGTTTATTTATTTAGTATATATTTAGATTTTTGTGATATTTTCGTGTGGAAATATTAAGTAGCTTAAAGTATTAATTTAACAATACTGTCATGTAATAATTAGCTCTTTATTTTAACGCAGATTATATTTTCTCTAAATGAATTTTATCGTATTATAAAATATTACCGGCAGGATCCCCACTAAATAATTCCTACTAAATAATTTGGAGCACTATAATGGAAAAAAATATAAAACTCCACATTAATCTATGTTAATCGTTTCAGATATCTCTTGAATTACAATAAAGTCCCGATGAAAGAGTTAATTTTTTTGTTGTAACATATTAAAAATGTAGCGTACATATCGTTTAATATATTTAATTATCTGCTTTTATATGAAATCAACATTTATACAAATTGTATATAATATAATTTTAAAGGATTTAAAATGTACTGAGAAGTTATGAGGAAATTTATTTTTTTAAAGAAAATAAATTTTTATTCTTGACGCAATTTAAACAAAATTAATGATTTGAAAAATTCTTCCTGCATATATTTCTCGTTATCGTAATAATAAATTCGAAGCCAATGTGTGAATATAAAATCAATAAAAGGATTTCGTGAAAAAGGTGCGGTAAAACGCGTTAATGCTGGATAAAACCAATACTAAAGCGAATCGACGTGGTGCAGGATATGCCGGAGATTTATTGTCGATTTTCTCGCGGTTGGAGGTACCAGGTGATGCACTTATTTGAGCCGAAAGGAACGAGATGAAGTCAGACGTGCGTTAAATCCGAGCCAAAAAGACCACGGGTGATTTTGCTGAAATATCGACAGTCTTTGAAAAATATGAAAAATGTTACGATTAAGAATCAAGTTATATTAAAGCTATATCGAGATAAAAACTGTCTAGATTAATTTAGTATCCTCTATTGAGTTTTTAAAGTTCGATCTATCTTCACTGTTTTTACGATGTTAGTAGCTTTCGAAAATTTTATTTTTAATATACATATATAATTTATGCCTTCGCAAACTGCCATCTTGTTGCCTGACGTTCGCTCTACATGTGTTCACCCACCTTCTTATTTGCACGCGCCTTATTACAAAATAAATTTGACAATTTGGGTATTGAATTGACAGACATCCTATTCTTTCTAATAGTGTGTAACAGTTTCTGTTTTATATAATAGCGCACAATCCTTCACACGCATTAAAAATAATGCGCCAGAAGATATACTTAAAAATGACGAATGTCTTATTTAAAAAATGTATATATATATTTTACGAGATTAATTATACGCTAAACCGTCATAACAAAAGCATCGCAGTTCGTATATGTAATGTCAAATGGTGTGATAATAACATGATTGATCTGTGAATACATAGCTGACTTAAAATTACAAATATTGACGCAGCCATTGAAAGATTATGAAAGCATCGGTAATGAAATGTAGATTTATAATCAGTACTTTAATGTGCACAATATGCGTATTTGAAATGTACGCTACGTTACGATAATGGATGCAATATGCCGTTCGCAATTTAATGATCATCCACAATATTATATGGTCGCTAACTTGATTTTCGCGATTACGCGTTATACGATTACGGTAGCTCAACGACAAACTAATCGAAAGGTCACACATACACAATGTATTTATAACGTGTGCATCGCATACGCACTAAAGCTTATGCATTGATTTTTAATTACATTGTACATTAACGGTATCAATAATGTAAAAAAACTCGGTTTAAAGCACATTTACGGTAATTCAGTTAATTTTGTCTTTGATAACGGCAAACACAGAAATTGTATCATAAATTATCAATTTTTTTTCTTTCAACTTTTTTTATAAATTTTAATTTTTGACATTAGGTTGTTTCTATTTCTGTTTGCAAATTCCATTGCAAAAATTCGTGAGAAATTAAATTGAATGTTTTTATTTAATGTTTTTCGAAATACATTCGTATGATTTTCAAAATGAAAAGCTCACAAGAGGCGCGCGTGTGCACGAGTGCAGATTGACCTTCGACATTTCCCTACGGTTGCCTGTCAGTAATTAACAAAAAAAATTTCAAATATCCGACGCACAGACAGACAAGTTCGAGCTGTCTCTCGCGTGAATTGCAAAATTCTTTGAAGATGAAATAAACGAATGCCGATAAGCTTGACGTGACGAGGCTTGTAACCACGGGCGGCAAGCAGCGAGCTGCGATATCGACGTCGGCGCTCGCAGGGACTCCATTCCTGTTCCACAACGAAGACTGCCCGGGCTTACCATTCGCATGCCCACTCCACTTACCCTGCCGCAAACGTGCTTCGGATAAAACGCGCGTCTCGGATCGCTACTGCTCTCGCTCGTGCAAATATCGGTATCAATATTTGTGTAGCTAGGCTCTCGCAAGATAGCAAGATCCAATTTTTGTGAAAAAATACTCGTGTCGCATGTAGAAATCTGATGCAAAAATAAATTTGACTAGAGTGCAGCACGTGACATTCTCGGAGAACATCGAAATATGCGTTTGACACTTAATCCCGCATTGTTTTCGTTATTATTATGAAGTTTTTTATTGTTATAAAGTTTACACAAAAGTATCGTACAGATTTATGAAAATTATAAAAATATAAGTAAATAATTATGAAATATTGTATAAAGTTATATATCTATAAAAAAGTAATCACGTTATATATTATTTATAAATTAATGTTTGAAAGTTTCTCATCGCGATACCATCGGTAATTCCAAATAACCAGCAAAGAGAGGATTGAGCGTTACTCGCTTTGACACTTGTTTGTCCCTGCAGCGTGCGAGCGACTGTGTTCCTGACTATGACGCGCGGTGACAAATTAAACTGTAAGACAAGGGGTTAAGTGGTCCTTAACAGAAGTTTAATTCAAAATCAATTTTAAATGAAACTTGGTGCTTCACTAGACACACTTAATTAAACTCGGTTTGGTATTGAGTAGCATTTAATATTGAAAATCGAGCTGACGTCTATTCATCAAAATTTCAGTGTGACAAATGTTTACTCGAAGATCTGTGCGTGAAGTAATACTATAGTTTTCGACAGAGTTGCTCGCGTCCATTTTTCACTGACATTTGCGCTTTTATAAAAGAAATTCTATGAAAGACGGACTACTAATTAACTTTCTCCTGGCTCTCATCGTCACGTTACGAACTATATTTCTTCGGGACTGAATAGCAGCTCGCGAGAGTCGCGTGATACCTTCGAATTAATTTCCTCTTGGATTCGTCAGTATTCCACATTTTCTCAATTTCGTCTATTTCATTTCCAAAGTTCACGTACGCCCGCAGCGCATGGAAGACATCTCGCGAAATTCATTAACTTTCACGGATTGCACTTACTCTTCAAACCTTACAATTAATTAAAACTTTTGGCGTGAAAGTAGCGTTCACGCTATCAACCGCTGGTTAAATTTTCCGTAAGCGTTTCCGGACAAATAATTTTGTCGAAAATGTTCGTCGCGATGTGCCGTTTAGTAAGCAGTTTCTATCTATGTTATGACAAAGTTTAAGAATTCCAGAATTTTATTCACTCAGAAATGTGTTACTTGAGATAAATTTCTTGGTTTGCAGTAATTAATTCTCCGTTTCCGATTATTTTCTCACTTGCCGCAACTGCTATTTTTGCATCGAACTTATCACAGGACTGACAAATTAAGTATTCGTTGGGAGAAGAAAATTAATATGCAACTTTGCAATCTGCTTATTATAATCTCGCTGGAATTCTTTAAACTCGCAACCGAGTTAATGGTACAGTCTAAAGTCTTAATTCCTTTACGTTTCAACTTTTAATCTTTATTTCCCTAGGTAGTTAAGTTAATGTAAAATTCGCGGGGCAAATAGCGTATTAAAGATTTTCATAGAAACTTCGTTTTAATCTTGTTATATTAAAGTCAATATATCCATGATCCTTTTAATACATAAATTTCTCACGCCTGAGATCCGCCATTTCCAAGATTTTTCCGCAAGAAGCTTTACAACGTACTTTTTATTTTTATCTCGTGCCAGCGCAAAGTGATGTAGCTTTTTTATTTATAATATTGGTAAAAGCATATATTATAATTTTGCAGAAATTACATAGCTAACAATTTGCTATAATTATGTTTATAATAATATTAAATACTTTTTGCGAGTTTCGAAAGCAAAATATGGACAACGTTAAAAAATTATTGAATAACAGCCTATTCTACAACAGCAAATAAGCTTAAAAAATTTTTTTATAAACCGATAATTATTTCATAAACGAAAGATTCTCTTATATCATAGATCAGTTGCTTTTAGATAACGTTGATTATCAATAAAATTTAGTGATTTTCTTCCTGAATCACCTTTTCAACTATTAAAATTATTATATATTATTAAAAAATAATTGTTCTTGCGGTTGAAAGATTATTGATATGCTTGCAAAAATTTAAATCGTACGCTGCGAACTTGATTATCTCAACTTAATTTCTTGTCTGCGACAATGAAGGACAATCTAGACTTTCGTTACGTAATTATTAAGTATAACGTTGCCACAAGTTCTTCAATTTAAACCGACAATAAACGCGGCGTGGATCGATAAGCAAAGCCGTGAGTTTGCTTCGGATGAACTTTCCTTTGAGCAAACCCTTACGACAGCCATACGAAATTCTGCGAGCCACGAAATTATGGCGAGTCGATGACATCGATTCGAGACAAAGTTTCGTATCAAAGTTTTCCCGCTGAGGTCGGGCCTTCCCCCTCCGAATTCACTCACCCCGAATTCTCCGTCATGCTACTTGTTTATTTTCCAAAGTACGCGGAGCGAATTACGTTTTCTCGTCCGGGCTGACGTGCGAAAAATGCGGGCGGAAGGAAGCAACCGATAAACCAAAAACGGTTTGCGCAAAATTGAGTCGAATCTATCCGCTCACGTGTTCGCATTTGAGAAGCGTAAGCTTGTAGATCCGAAATAATCAGTTTTGACATATATATTGCAATTAGAAAATTGCGATCTGCGAATTACAAACTGCATTGAACCAGAATTAAATTTTTTGTCAGCAGAACTCAATAAAATTGCAATAAAATATCATTATTAATTTTATACAAAGAGTTGAATTTTTACAATGCTTGAAGACGATTTCATTATATATATAAGATTTTTTAATACCATCCTATATTTTAGCAATTGATTTTTGAAATTAAAAAAAAAAACTCTTATGATATACATATACAGTTTTAAAAAGCTTTTCTTAATTCTTTGAGGCTATATTTTCATATGAATTTTTCTTCATAAAATGAGCTCAAAAATCAATTCCTAAAATATTAGATAGTATCCTGCAAGAAACATCTGCACGTATGTCCCGCTTGTATAATGTTCTACACCCAAAGCATCTGGCACACAGTTCTCGCGAGCCCTTCAGGAAGTGCGAGAGATCCGATGTGACGATAAGAGTTGAAAATGCAGGAAAAATGGTCCTTCACCTTCGAACTCGCTTATCCTCGACTATCGGTCGCCGTTTGACCTCGTGAACCGGCAGGGAGCTTATATTCTTCGATCTATCCCGCGGGAAATGCACTTGCATCGCGCGTCGTGCGCTTGTATGCGTCCCGCCGTGAGTGCGTCTCCGTCGACATATCCGGGCGCATGAATTTAATACGATAAAAGTTCTGACTTTCACTCGCTTCGCATCGAGTATCGATATCCGGTGTCTTTTTCTTCGAAGAGCTCGATTTCGTACCTTCTTACTTGTTTTCTCTCAGGACCGCAATACGATACGGGATAACGATATAATCCTAAATTCGCGGAAAATCGAATAGCAAAGGCACCGTGAAAATTTGTAAAAAACGATCTCTTCATTCGTAATCGGTTAAATTTTTTAAAAATTGCTATTTAGAACAAGAAGAATCACCGGCGTTTTCATTACTCAATTTTCTGGAAACTTTTGCCATATCTTACCCATCAAAGATACGGAAGTACCCGTATTCCCGTATACCTACACCTCACCTCGGGATGAAGACGGAGAGAGGGATTGTTTGACGTCGTGAAGGAGGTCGAAGAGGGTTGACGTTGCTGAGAGAACGAGGAATTCCGCCGCGAGGACTGCAGCTGCAGGGACGTTCGGTCGTCGACTTGGATGAGGGTGGCGAGGGGGGTCAGAGGGGGAGCCTCTCTGGACCGGGGGTCGGGATCGGGGTTGTCGGTCCAAGGGGGATGAGGAAAGACCGCACCCACCCCGGTTTATCGACCGGGTTACACCCTTAGTCGGCGCTCTCTCGCAAATTTCCCTCCTTACCTGCGCTCTCTTCCGTCACTCTCCTTCCGCAGCGCGTTTTCTTTCTACGGCGCACCGTGCGGTGGAGTGCATTACGCGTTCGAGTTTCGGCGTTTCCGGCCAGGAAACGCTGTCGTAACATTTGCGGCCTCGTATTCGATAGGGGAAGGGAAGAGGGGAGCAAAATGATTGCGTGACAAATGATGACGTTGACGAAGTTTATCGCTGTGGAAATCTGCTGAGCATGATATTTCATCCTGGACCCTTATTCTCGAAAAATTTCACATGCGAAAATACGAGGAAAATTTATAGTATACATGACGTATATTGTAGCATTTTCGTACATTTTCATATGCGAAATTTTTCGAGAATAAAGCCTTTGATGATTTTCATGCAACTATTATAAGATGTGTGTAATTTTACAATAAAATAAATTAAGAACTTTTAATCCGAAAGCATGATCTAAAAGGATCCTATATCGTTTTTCTTATAATGATCAAATCTGAATTTTACTCAATTCGTCTGCTATAGATTTGATCACATTTAATCTGAAAACAGCAATAATTTAAATTTTTAAGGAACTTATGAAATGAAGAAAATATGAAAGATGGCAGAATTTTGATGACAGATTCGCACAAATGAATTCTTTAATAAAAGTTTCTTCAAGCCTGATTTCTACTTTAGAATTGCCACTATAACTTTTTCTCAATTTACGGTGATTTTATCTAGGATTACGCTCGACTCTCAGAAACTTCGTGGTAATCCTTGTTAATCTGATATCTATCTTTAGCGGAAGATTAGTTGGTTTATTTGACAAAAAGAATAAATGGAACCGTTAATATTTCTCAAATTATTTATTCTATGTGACACGTACTGTCGCAGCACGCTGCTTTCTTTCATCCTTTTCACAAGTAACTCCGCAGATAATTCTTTTCACCGCAGAAATGCATTTCTCCTTAGTCGCATCCCGGGGGACGCATTCCTGCCTACTTCTTTTTTTATTTGGAAATAAAGTTTTCCTTCTGGACGTGCATTTGAATGAACATTTCGCCTCTATACGTCCCTTGGTTGTGCAACGTTTGTTCCCTTTAATATCTCTGCTGACGAGACTCGTTGTTGACACGGATTTCCCGCGAGATATGATCGTCACTTGAACTAGCGATACTGTTGGTGTATGGTAACGTACGATTAAATGCCGAGCGTCCCAGAATCATTGGATGCCGTGTTAAAGGGAGATTCCACGAATAATTTGCGAAGCTACAGCATTCTCTAAAAATATAATGGATTCTGTCATATTTTTTAAAAACCGTTATAGAAATTTAATATTGGAAGAGCCGAATCATTACTGATTTTGGATATTAAAAGCATTGTTTATTAGTACTTTTTTTTATCAAAATAAGTATTTATTTGACGAACTTCCAGTATAAAATTTTTCTAAGGGAGAATGACGATTAAAAAAGTAATTGTTATTTTCAATAATTGCGTAACTGTTACTAGAAACAATTCCAACAAGGCATATTTGCTTCCGAATTATTATATCTGGATTATTTTAATTAAGTTATTTACGTTAGATTAGGTTAATTAGGTTATTTTTTAGGTTTATTTTAATTAGTCTAGTTTGCTTCTGAACGACAAGCAACAAAAAAAATTTATTTTGCTGCAAACTATCTGTTTAATGCCACTCGTGCAATTGTCGTAAAACGACTTTTTCCAACAAGGCAACTCTCGTCATTGCACTCTTATCCTTGTCACTCTTCTAGCTTCTCTCTTTCTCTCTCATTTTTCTCATCGCTCCAGTGACGTTTAGCGAAGAAAAAAGATCGATGCCAAGACGCGGGAATAACGAAGCGCCTCATGTTGCGTTTTTCCAGCTTTGCGGATATTTGTTTAACGTGTAAGCTATTTTTTCTTCCTTATATTGTTGTTTCAGTACGAATATTCTAATCGTCAGTCTCTCTTGTCCTACTTTTCGTTCTATTAATACAAAAAACCTAGTTTCAGTAAAGCAAGTTCTGTTAATTTTTCTTGTATTTTGTTTTAACGAAAAATACTGATATTTGAATGTGGAATCTGAATAACGATAATATGATATATTTATTCCATAAGAAAAAGATGTTTTAGTCTACAATATAGTTACGAGAAAAATAAAAGATATATTACGTAAGAAATATAAAAAAATATTATACACGGAGAGAATTTTCTTTTAAAATTTACCCTGAAAATCATATTAATTGTGAAACAATATAGTATTTAGGTAAATTTTAGTGTGCACTACAATAAATTTTACTGCGAAATCTTATTGTAGTGCACACTAAAATTTACCTAAATACTATACTGTTTCACAATTAACATGATTTTCAGAGTAAATTTAAAAAATAATTCTCTCCGTATACATAATTATGTTATAATAGTATGTTATTTTATCAGTATGCCACGCTGTGCGAGAGGTAATTTACGTTATGCACTAGCATCATACTTGCATCTCCATGCTGACAACGTCCTGTGTATACGGCTGAAAAATAATGTGTGTCTCGTGCACTCTTCTCCCATCTTCTTCTTCTCCTTCTTTCTTTTCTCCCCCTCTCACTTCCACCGCCAACGAGTATCGCACGTGTGTTGCACGTATGAGTTTTTCTTGCAAACCTGCGCTTTGGCCGTCGTAAATGCACGTTGTGTCAACGTTTAATACAGCGCGTACGCGTGCTTGTTACACATGAACAGCGTGCACAGCGAGCGAAAGTTAAGCGGCTGGAAATTAAAACGCGAGCGATACATTTCATGCCGCGGGATTTTAGATGAACAAAGAGTAAATTCGCAGAACGCTACACCTTTTACACTACACCGGATTGTTAATTTTGAAAATGGCATGCAAGTTAGGTTTTGAGGACATAATTCATGATGCAAAAAACGGTGATTCACAAAAAAAAAGATATGATAACTTATATTAATTTTTACTTAATAATAAGCTAGCAGAGAAAGTATTTTAAATAAAAAATATTTTATTTCTTGCGAGATAATATTGATTGAACTTTTATTCAGAAAGATTAAATCGCGTGGAATTAAATGTATACCTGACAAGATTTTTATTTTTATCAGATACTAGAAAGGAATTGCGCCAGTTTAAATCAAAGCATTGTAGTTAATATGCATTAGGCTTCTACCAATAATTATTAATAATGTATACCTATATGATAGAACCATAATTTCTCTCTTGTACAGTAATGTATAATATATGATAAAACTATAGTTACTCTCTCTCTCTTACAATAATATTGGTATTAGTAATGGGGATACGAGCATCAGGTGTTATTCAGGG